TACTGTGTTCCTGTAAGCCTCAAAACCCATAATTCATCAAAATCACTGAAGTCTGACAGGAACACTGGAAATTAAGATTTATATTTAGAAACTCCAAAGATCTTGAAACCTGAGTTTTCAGAAGACGCCTTCGTATCTTTTTTCATCCAAAATATAAAAGCAGTTAACATTTTTGCTTCAGACTAACCTCCCTATAATAAAATCTGTGGACTGAGATGTAAGCTACAGGTAAATTATTATAAATTAAAAGGGAAAGAAATATAAATTCTTTTGAAAAGAAATATGCTTCAAATATATAATTCAAGCCTCCTGCCCCAACATCTGGCAATAAAAGATACTTATAAAAATACATACCTGGCTATCTAAAAGTTTACATAGACACAATTAATATCTTGAAATTTCTTTTTCAAACTGGATGATAATATCTTCTAATCCCACCTAATACAAAAGCAATGCAACAGAAAAAAAAGACGTATCTTTCTGTATCTTTTCCAGGAGTTAATACCCAAACACATCCTTATTTTAAGACTATTTCCCCCTTCAACAAAATCCCACAGCAAAAATTTTGTGGCAGTTTCAGGAGCATGCCAGTGTACTAATGCTCCAGTCTCATTTACTATACTGTGTAAGTACAAAAGTTCTAAAAAGATTAGTTTCACTTTTCCCTAGATATATTTAGTACATTAACTAGCATAGTTGGGATATTATTTTTCTCTGGTTTTGTCAGTAGCATGTTTGATATAAATTTTATTAAGTGGTAGTGTATGTAACATTGCATTGTGGGTAGTAGTTTCCTGCTTTTGCCTAGCCACATCCTCAGCTGTCATATGAGCATGTTTCCCATATTTTCTGCAAGTTCTCGCCTTTTTTTTTCTGCTTACGGAAATGACAGCATTAGAAGATGAATTGTTCCAATAATTATAAGAAACATAAATTACGTACACTAAACAAGCAGGGATCACTCAAAGTGCACACGAAGAAAAAATAAAAACTAATGCTTAAAATTAAATCTTAATGACACATGAAACAGTGTGTTAAAAATAACATGAAGAAAGGATTCGAGGAACAACTGACAATAATTCAAAGAAAGAATCTTCAGTCAGTTGTCAGGCCACTGCCTATAGATGCCTAACAAATAAGGTATATCAGATGATTCGCAAGGAATAATAAAAGTTTCTAATTTGCTTTTATGAAGGATTAATGTCAATATCATTTACTAGAATTTTAAAAGTCTACTTTAGAATCTTATAAAAATGTCAAGCAGAGAAAGAAACTAAAAAGGGAGTAGGGAGACTGAATTATAATACAGAGAGGAAATTAAGTGTAGTAATTTCTTCTTTGACATCCAATTGTCACATAATGTCACATTTAAACAGATAGTTGATAATATTAACCAAGACAAGTTGTTCAAACAAAGAAATGATGCCTTGGTTTTTAAATTTAAGTGGAACAAATTTAAAAACAATTCTCATTATTAAAAAACACCAGAAAATATTAACCTTTATGTAAATATTACCATACATAAGTGTACACAGATACATACTGGTATTTACGTCATTAGAGTAAAATGGAATTACTCTCATAATCATAATCTAAAATAGTAATGAAATGATACGTTTTAATATAGCAAAATATTTCACATAAAAAAATATAAAGCCTAGTAAGTGTCATTCACATTCAAGTAGCTATATATCAAATAAATAAATAGTCACAGGCCAACCTAAAACAATAAATTTTTAGAAGTCTTTAACTCAAACCTCATCATCAGTGAGAACATTTTAAGTCAAATTAGAACTTTTGCAGTTTATAAAATAACCTCTTCAGAAGAGTGGCTCCTACTGTTTTCAATAAAAGAAAAATTGACTACAGACAAGCAAAACTATAAAGCTACCCCAAAAGGTATATTAAAATTAAATAAAAAATAAAAGCCTAGAAATGATGATGATAATAATATTGGTAAATTAAGGTAGCACATTAAAATGTTATCATTAGTTCTGGGCAAAGAAATCATTGGTGACAATAAAGATATTTTAAAATACTGCTCATGCAATTAAATCACTTGTAGATGTTTTGGTATCTTAAAGTTCAACCAATTCTAACCAATTTCATTAAAATATGCAACAGGGAAGTAATATACTAACTAGTTGACTTCATACAACTGGATTCAGGTTCAAAGCTTTATTTCCATGATATTACAGGATATAATTTATAGGAGACTTAATCCTGCTACTTACTTAAACATAGCAAATACTAAGTTATTGCCAACAAGAAGAAGTTTTGTGGTCTTCAAAAACAAGCAAACAAACAAACAAAAATGCCCTGAGGCTTTCATCTGTGATTATAAGAATGGTATAAGTAGATAATCAAGAGTTTAATTTGCACAGACTTTTGTGAATCAATCTCTTTTCATCACATGTAATAAGCTATTTTGAAAGAAACAAACTGGCAATTACCAAATGTGTACTATCATGTTGTTTTTAAAAAATTACCACAAAGTAATATTTGCTTTAAATATATATATATACACACACACACACACACACACACACACAGATTTTCCATTTAGGGGGGAAAACAAGTGTGGATAATAAATCTGCAACTTTAAAGTATATTATTTCGCTTTCCCCTGCCAGAATGCAAAATAAAAATCTCAGGCAAGATGGAAAGAAAAGGATATACTAAACAAAGTCTACTAAACACTTGTGCAGATAGAGTGAGGAATCCGACCCAAACATTACATGCAAGCGAGTAACCTGCAATAAGAGAACAAGCAATTAGGAAACACAAAGACGATGAAAATTACTCCAATTTAATATAAGGTCAGTTTCAGGAGCCAAAATATATACAAAACAGAAAGGGTAAAGGAGAAAATACTCCACAAAGAATTAGGGTTGACTGAATGTCTGAGAAGCCTGACGCAAACAAAAAATTCATCCTGAAAGAAGAAAGCCATTCACTTACCAACCTATAGCAGCTATACAAATGTTTCAACTGCCTCATTCTACTGTTATATATGTACATGAAAGAGCTTAAACTTTCATAAATAATATGAACAAAGCCCTTTTTTAAATTTTATTTCAAGAATTAAGTAGGTATATGGATTACATAAATACCTTATCCAACTGAATTTTTTTTCTCTCCCTTTTACATGAATAAGTGAGCATTAAAGGAAAATGTTAACTTTTTAATTCAAAACCTGTTTATATGCAAAATAAGCATGATAAATATGGGCTTAAAGCATAAAATATTAAAATTATGAAAAAGTTCTAGACCTTTGAATAACAGATTAAAATAGTTTCTATGTCCACCCAGTGTGTACTGGACAAATAAAAATTTTTGGCAAAGAAATTTATGAACCTTTTTGTACACTTATCTAATATAAAGCAGTAGCAGATAATGAACTATGCTAGGAACACCACAAACAGGCATATTTTGGTTGTAACATCCTTCAGAATACTTCCCTAGCGTTTACTCCATTACATACCTAAAAAAATGTTTTGTAATTCACTGTCTCCGCCCACCCTCCCAGTCATTCACTTCCCGCCACTCCTAGTTACTATCACACTAGGAAGAAGTCTAACAACTGAGCACATGCAAATTCAGAGTGGCGTGGATAAATGGCAAAAAATGCCTAGAAAATTGGTCTGCTCAGTTTTGTAATTTTTGTTGAAAAATACTCCATCGCTCCCAACTGATGAAAACAGGAAACCCTATTCATAAATATAAATTTCACTGCCTATGATATACAATCATCCTAATAAGAAAATGAGTTCTATACATTCATGTCTAAAGGGGCAAAAAAGGAGATAGTTTCCCAAAGATGTTTCCAATTTTCTTCTGAATCAGAATTAGCAAATCGAGACGACTAGCATACTCTGTGTGCATTATTCCTCACTACACACAGCATTTTGTAATTTATTTCAAAGCTTCCATTATAAACAAAAAAATACAGCTTCTGTTAACCCACTCCATCCTGAGTTTATAAGGTCTAATACTGAATAGTGAAGTTACAACATAAGAATTTCACTTTATGTAAAGAAATATTATCAAAGACTTAAAATTAATGGCCAAATAAACCAAATAATTATACAAAAAGAACATATTTCCTTAAAAGACAAAATTATACTTCAAGTATAAAGAAAACTTAGACTTGGTCAATAAAATATACTACAATTTTTGCCCTTCATTTTTATAAGACCCTAAGACTGGTCATGACATGAAAGTATGTTTTACATTTAATCTTTATTACAGAGGCTGTCATCTAATATTGATATCCCATAAACTATACAAACATGATTTAATATTTGTAAAGGAATCTCCAGACTAACACTTTCATGACAGCCAGTCTCAACCCAGTCCAGCAAGCAGTTTGCAATCAGACCTTCAGAAAGGTAAACTTTTTTTTATCCAATGAGTTACAGATTCACAAGTTTAAGAAGAAAAAGAAAAACAGAAGGAATCCAGCCACCCAGCAAATATAAAGCAGACCCCAGAATGTGATACAATCCAAAGATGTAAATTACTGTAAATCATCACTGTTGTTCAGAATTTCACACAGTTACTTGAGCCAATTTTGCTCACTTTTCCACAGACACAATAAAGAACTAAAAGGAGGAGGCAAAAGGAGGGGAGAGGTATCAGGAGGGATAAGAAGGAAAGAACTGAGTTCTACTCTACAAATGCTTAACCTTACAGGAGTTTGGGCTCCTGCAGCATTTGTATTCTTTCCAAATCCTTATGAGTCACAAAAAAATTAAAAAGCTATATCCTTCTGGATGCCAGGAAGGGCCTTACCACAAGCCTTTTGTCAGAGAGAGGGAGAGGGAGAGAGAGACAGAGCAAGAGTAAGAGCAAAAGCAAAGGAGAAAAAGCCACAGTGGTAGGCAGTCCCACTTTACTTTGAGTACTGTGAGGTCACAAACCACATGATTCTGTCTCTCCAGTAATAGTGCTTGCAAAAAAAAGGAGTTTTAAAGCTTTTGCTTTTTTGGATTGTGTGAATGCTTCATTCGCCTCACAAACAACCACAGAACCACAAGTGCGGTGCAAACTTTCTCCAGGAGGACAGCAAGAAGTCTCTGGTTTTTAAATGGTTAATCTCCGCAGGTCACTACCAGCCACCGAGACCAACAGAGTCAGTGAGTGCTCTCTAACCACAGTCTATGCAGTAATAGTAGGTCCTTCAAATATTTGCTCATTCTCTTTTTGTTTTGTTTCCCTGCTTTTCACATGTTACCAGCTACATAATTTTGTGACAGAAAAAAATAAATAGAAAGTCTATGTACTCCAGGCATACTGTAAAACTAAAACAAGGTTTGGGTATGGTTTGTATTTTCAGTTTAAGGCTGCAAGCAGTATTTACAACAGAGGGTACAAGTTCTATCTGAAAAAAATAAAAGGAGGGACTATGGCATCAAACAGCCTCTTCAGCACAGTGACACCATGTCAGCAAAACTTCTTTTGGGGTAAGTGTTATATATTTTAAATTACTCTAAGAGATGAACCTGTTAAACATAAAAGTATGTGTCTTGGATGAACTGCTAGTGCTTCAAGATAACAGTGCATGAAAGGGCATACTAATGCTGTACTGTTGCAGTAAAATATTGAAAGATGAGAATGCTATGCATATTCGCATTTGGCAATTGCCACTTGCCTAATTCTCAGAGTAATGACTTGAAATGTGTAAAAATAAAACAGCCTGCTTTAATAGAAAAGTTTTCTAAAGTTAGAAAAATGAGAATGTTAACATAGTATAAAGAGACAGCTTAGACTTCTGTTTAACCTTCTCTGGATAAAATGAGACAGTAAGTTAATCAAAGTATTAATTATCAACTCCAGCGGCACCCAATATTTGAGAAAACTTCAAAAAGGAAGCAATTTTACAAAATAACAGACCTCAGAATTATCCCAACATTATGTATGCTCTACCATGCAAAACAGAAATAAACCTACAGTACAGTTAACATTTGAACCAGCTCAACTAAAAGAAAGCTATTTATAATTTTAAACTGCTTTATAAAATATCTGCACAAGTCTGTTTCTAAACAGCTTGGTAAAATTGGAGCATATATTCCACTGAAATAAAAGTACATGTATAAAACAGTCATTTAAAAAAGATCTTTACATACTAAAAAATTCACAGAAGTCTTTAAAAACTTGCATGCAATGTTATTCCCTATATCATTTTATTTTTTTACACCTAGACACTATATCCTTATGTACAGACTTGTTATAAACACACAGCAACACTGAAATGTCTAAGATGCTTTTAATCATATTCTTCAATCTACCAAAATGAGTATCATTTAGTCTCAGGACAAATAAAGTTCCATAAGGATATTCCGTATGATTTAAGAGCCATATCTATTAAATCAAGCTGGATTTGAAAAGAAAATGTACTTAATTCTAGTTTCTTAATATTTAATTTCAAGTCAGTGTCAATACAGATATATAAACTAACATTCATCAGCTGCTCCTGTATTATAATCAAAGTGTAAAAACTTACAAGATTTTCTTTATGATGTCCAACATGTTCCAACTATAAGGCAAGTTTTAAACTTTTAATCTTTAGAATAAGTTCTTTTGCTGTGTATATCAATATTAACACTGCTTTGTAACTTAGAACTAATGACTGGAGTTTCTTTACTCCTCCTACTTCACACATTTTAACTGGCTACTACTTGAGGATCAGATTTAGTTTAAGTCAAAGAGAAAAAAAAATTAAACCTGAAGGAAAGAAAAGGGTTTTCCTTAAAGTGTGAGGAAACACACTTTGTATTTCACCAAAATAAAAAAAAGTAAAGTTGCTGTGGTGACTCCTTCAATAGCTGTATGTGGACCTCTCATTATAATGTATGTAATAGCACAGTTTTGTAATGTAATAGAGGGTTTTAATCATTAATCTAAAAGGTTCTGTATTAAGGAAGGAGAACATAAATACAACTACACTGTATTATACCCCAAATTAAAATTACAGCCTTTACACAGGAACTCTTGCTCTGACTTCCACAAGGTAAAATGGGAGGAAAATAGTTTAAATTGTTATTTAGAGACATAATGTAAAAGAGAAATACCTAGCAGTTCATTTACTCTTCAACAATAGTACTTCACTCTGTGTGTGTGTAGAAATTTTTTTTCTAATCAGATTGGGACAAACAGAAGTATGAGAGAATATCTCAATATTGACAGTAAAACTATTAAGATAAACAAAAAAATGTTAAATGGTAAAAAAAAAAGTTAAAATGTTCTTACTTTATCATATTAAGTATCTTTTATTTCCCTCAAATTCTGAATAATAATTTCTAGGCCAAGTTTCTAAACAAGGTATAGCAGAGAATTTGATAGATTAAGATCATCTTCAACTACATACTATACTTTTTATTAAACACTAAAATGAAACTTTCTTCTGAAAAAAGTGGTTTTTTTACTCACTCCTTGGCCACCACAGTGCCTTAAGAGCCAGGAGAGAAAACTTAACATGAATCCACGAAACTGAATTGATGGGTAATAGATATTTTGTATAGGTGATCATCATATTTGTAAATATTTCCCAAATCTATAACCTATTTGACAGCTAAAAACTTCACTTCAGGTTATAAATTCTTAGAAGATGATAATAACTATCAGCAGTGAGCTCTCAAATATATGTGCTCCAATTCTGTGAAACAGTTAAAAAGAAGTCTAGGTTTTTCGTGGGTGAGGGACAAAGCATGTGTCGATCAAATGCTTCTCCTGAAATATAATGGAAAGAGAGAGAGGAAGAAAGACTAATTCTCAGTGTCCTTGCTCCTTCAGAATACCATTTCCTTTGAATAAATCAAAAATTTTCATGACCTGTACCATCAAAATTAATCATTTATTATAAATAAAACTTGCTATATGTTGCTTTATGTTGACTCCTGGAATTCTGCTACATAAAAACTTTGTAACTGATCAAAGTAACTAAAAATATGCATGAATACTGATTTCTAAGACTGATGTCCATATTAATAATATCAACTTCATACCATTAAGATTTAATAGTGATAAAGTATTCTAGGGTAAGGGTGTTAGATTCCAAAGTTCAAGGAAAAAAATTTAAAAGTCAAGAGCATACTGCAAAGGCCACTTTAATATATTAAAGGTTAGCACTATCAATCAATGCACTTCTCAAAAATCTGTACTATTTATAATCATTCCAATTTTATAAGAAAATTGCTAAAGATTTCATTTTTTAATACGTGTAAAATTTTTGAAGAAAGCATATAAAGATAAAACCTTGTTAGTCTGTGTGAACCTCCTAAAACTCTTTAAATCACAAGGAAGGCATGAAATATACATCACTGCATTAAGACATGTTAGAGCTCTTTAAAATGGACAAAAATTACTCTTTTCAATTACACCCTTCAAGCTAATCACTGATAGTCTGACTAGTTTAAATCAGTCATGTGAAAGTTAAATCCAGTAAGATAGAAATGTTCCAGTTTGTTAAAAGAACACTGAAATATTTGATGGTTAAATAAACTGCAGAGGAGAGAAAAAAACTAACTCATTGAAGGCACTAAGACTTTATCAAACACACAGGATTAATCTTTATTCAATAGAACCATTCACAAATCAAAACTCACTGTACTTCAATACTTCCAAGCAGCGCTAATCAATTACAAACCTTTTCTAGTGCTTCAAAACTCATGTGCTTTCAATTTTATATACTGGTGGTCCTGAAGTATTGTATAGGGGTTGAGTTAAGAGATTCTGTATCACAACTTTTTCCCCCAATCAACATTCATCTCAAGAGTAACTCTCACACACACCCCTAAAGCTGCTCACATGAAAATTGTGGTAATATTTTTATACTGTACTTCTTTGTTGAAGCAAAAGGTTAAGGGTTACCTAAACACCTCGACTGTATATACAAAAAAAAAAAAGGAAAAGGTAAGTATTCATACAAAAAAATCCGATGGGACTGGATTATTTATTTTTGCATTTCCTATGATTAATGATGCACCCTTAATGGCTAAACAGGGTTCCATCTTAAAGTCCTCTCTCCAAAGTATACAAATAACCCTCCATAACTTTTGTTAGAAGATACTAAGATGTAACAACTCTAATAAAGTAATATAAAAACTTTTTAAAAGCATTAAGATTGCAAATGCTTAATCTAGTGAAAGCTTTTAGAAATATTTTTAAATAAAAGATTCAATGGGAGGCCTTTTCTCCTTATCTCCTTTCCAGGAGGAAGGCCCATCCTTTGAGGATATAACGTTCTAATAAATCTATCATTACAATTTACCCTGTGTGTATGGGGGGGGGGGACCAAAACAGGTTAAATGGAACAGCCCTCTGCAGTCTTTTAAAAACTATACATATAGTCAAATATTAATTCATGATAAGAAAAATCTTTTCCTAGCAATACAAAAATGATAAAGATGACAGAGTAAAACTATTTCTTATAGTCTAATTAGCAAAACCAATGCTAATTTAAGCAGACCCACCCTAAGAGGTAACTTTAATGCACTGTTTTTCTTCCTATACCAAGAAATTCAACCACTGAAAACACTGTGCCCTCCCTCAACAAAAATTTGTCATTAAATAAACACCAATATTAGCAATAAATGTCTTATTTTTTTTAAATGGAAAATATGCTAAGTTGACTGTCTAAAATATTCATGTCTGTAAAATTTTATATCTTAACAAAAATCTTGAGAAAAGGAGGTCTCATACAATGAAAATCTGTAATTCCATACACATACTACCATTTCCAAAGATTATGGAATGCAGTCAGCCAGAATTATTTCATATGTATTTTGACTAATGTGTTAAACTTAAAATATAACCAGGAAATTCTATAACTTATTCAAAGGGTATTTCCTTACTATATTAACCAGAGTTGACCACAAGCTTTCGTCCATTCAAGAGCAAACACACATAAAACAGACCATACATTTCTAGTTCACTGGTTAAGACCTGTATTGTAATTGAGAGTAAATATGCTATTGTATATCTTTACCTGATGTCAAATTCTTGGAAATTTTCTTCCCCTTATGCTACTCACATAAATTCTTGTAAATGTTCTCCCCTTTATGCTACTTACTACTCTGGTGGTAAAGTGAATAAAACAACTGGCTGTAACAAGAAGGTGATTTAAGGCCCACTAGCTAATCAGCAGGATGAAGATGAAGTGTTTGCTCTCATAAAGCCTTAGAAATCCTCTGAAGCAATTCTATTTTGCCCTGTAAGGTAACAATGAGTTACAACTGTCTTGGTGGCAATGAGGTTGGTTTGAGTTTACACTGTTTACTAAGGATATAAATCAGGATTTGGAGTAGGATCACTTGAAGTGTTTTTGTTATTGCTGAACAATAGTGTAAACCTAAAACATTTTATGAAAAGTGAGTATGTCTACTTCTACAAACAGAAACTTTATCATTTAACAGGAGATAAAAATTCTCAAGTAAGACAAGCTGTAGGATTAAAGAATCTTCTA